ACAATATGCGTTTTTGCTGGCTGTAGCAGCGCTATAGCGCTGCACAGCAAAAACGCATAAAAACGTTGGAATCGCCAGTAAGTTAAGCCCAGACAGAACAGCAATGGACAAAGCGACTGGTACAGCGAACAACTGTAAAACCAAAGATGCGGATTAAGAGCTGAAAGCTAATCCAAGCTTTATATAAACTTTTAAATGTCTTTCCTAGTTTTTGAATACGAATTTATCAGAGCGCTTGCTTACGTGGACCACCACTTTTTAGGCCCAAGAATCTGTACAGTGTACATTGCTCTATGGCACTCATATGTTGATTGAACGACAAAACAAGCTAGAAGATAGAAATTAAAGGAAAGTAACTTTTTTACATGTGGTGGACAAGAACAGTAATGTCAGTTTTCAAGCTTACTGAGCTCGAAGCTGTAATCACAGCCGACAAGAGCCAAATTTACACATTTTGTACTTTAGGTACCTTTCGTTATGTGTTTTCAGCTCGGACGGCTGACCAGCAGAACAGGCAGTAGCATATTAACGATATGAGGTCAGTTTTCATGTAAGAGGAGTAAGAAATGCGATTATTAATCGACTTCCATGTTCCAGCTTTCAGATTTGTCCTGATAAATGAAAATCTAGCTACGGGTGAGAAAAAGTTTGCCCAAAATAAGTGTTTGAGCTTTCTGATGAAACTTGAAGAACGAACGCTTTAGGGAAAAATGCTCAGCTTCTTTCTTTGTGTTCATATAAGCATTTAGACTTTCTGTGAGATTAGCAGTGCAGAGTATCATCACGACCACCTGAAAATGCAATATTCTGTTGGTGGGGGAAGTTTTGTTGACAACCCGTGGATATCGTGTACGAGTAAATGGCATTTGTAAGAAAGTAAATAACCTGTCGGATGGGTTTCTGAAGAGGTTTCTATGCATATTTCGAGCAGAAGTGGTTACGCGGCTCAAGATCGAAGATCTGGAACAGCTATTGCGCTGAGTGATACAGGATTTTAACAGTATCAGTACTGGAACTGTATGCAGGTTTTCGTGATACTATTATTCACATCCTTCCTTAAATAATTTAATCTCTATTATGTTCTTTAAACCTTGATAGGAAGTTAAAAAGTTGTTGGCGTGTCCGAACAAATGATGCAAGCGAACATGACAAATGAGTTTGTAATCTTTGAACTGCATATGGATAGTGAGCACCATCGCAAAATTTTAGGTTTCTGCATTGCTGGTTTCTCGAAACTGATTTTCGTCACAACTTTCAAAAAACATCTGTCGAACTTCATCGATATGCTGAAAATACAGACTTTATTCAGCGCATTTTGGACTGGGTCATAATAAGGCTACCCGGTATGAATTGGCTTAAGGCTGTGCACCACTAATACCGAGAGATTTAGGTTGATAATCCAAGCCTGTTACTGTCTGTTGAATGTAAGAAATCCACATTATTTTACCGCACACTCAGTCTACTTCGCCCTGTTTACTACGACTTTCTTTACATCAACTATAACTTTCTTTGCAAACAATACACAGCAACGAATTATTGTTGGCCTAGCAAACAACCAGTTAATCGAAAAATAACCCACTCTTTGTCATGTCAGAGACACTTTTTATGCGTTTTGTGCTGTGTAACAGCGTTACAAAACGCATATTGTCACGGGGTTTTCTGTGTTTGTGTGTGTGTGTCCCACATTTTGGCCCGCACTTTCAACTCGGGAACCACAAAAGCTAGGCGGCTGAAATTTCCTTCCAACGGGTGACGCGGTAAATTCAAATTCCCATACCCACGGGTAACACTTACGGCCCCGTGAAAATTTTTTACGAGTAAATTAATATCTCGGGAATAGCAGAGTCTAGGTGCCTGAAACATTAGGGTAATGACCTCCTACCCACGCTCAACCTTGCCTATTCAAATTCAGCGTTTCGCTGTTGAGTATCACCTACGACCTCGTGAAAATTTTGGCGGTTAAACTATTAACTCGGGAATCACGGGAAGATATTCACTCTTCAAGGTTTCGGATTCAGCTTTCATGCGTTGGTGTGTGAAATTTTTTACTATTTTTCAATTTTTGAACTATTTTTGCATAGACTAAAGTACAAAGCAGTGAAAATCATCAATAAGCGGTCGCTCGATGGGCTGAATTGCACAAAACGCATGACCGCGCCGGCTAGTCTGGTGCGCACTGCTATTTATCTTTAGGCTTTCTCTGAATAAAGGACCACAAATAAGTTTTGCTAATTTTTCAAACTGCGCCATTTCCACCGTCTATAACATGGCAATCCACTGCGATTCCTTTCATCAAGGCTCCCTTCTTACTTTTTTCTTCCTCCTCCCCTTCCCCTCATCGTTCCCAAATGCTACCATTTTGGGATTATTTTCACCAACTACTTGCTGTTTCCGATACATGCACCCTCTTTCTGAAATTTTTCGAATAGTCGTTTTTCGGCTGCTAGCACCGTTGTCAAAAATTTTATTTCATTAAGCTGGTGTCGCATAAACAATCATTGTTAGAGCAAGCAAACAAGAAAAAAGACTCAAAATGAGGACAAACAATCGAGAAAATTTAGCTGGGCAAATGGGGAAATTTTGCAGAAAAATTACGTTTGCCTGGTGAAGCTGTCCGGGAAAAATGTCATCAAACAGCTTCACTGAGCAGACGGAAAAATATTACCGCGCAGCGCTGTTGGCTAGATGAGAAAAGGAGAAAGCTTCACTGATCGTTATCATTCAAAATCACAAAATCATCTCCAAGCAACTCAGCAGCAACAGCATCATCAATTTCTTCGTATGCTTCCACTCCATCGTACTGATCCTAAACGAAACGTCTGTGATTGTAGTTTCGCTTTTCTGCCTTTGTACTGCTTGCGCTGCAGTATAACTGTAGATTTTAAATTTGGGTTATTGCTCTTTTACACATAAGCCTCCCATCTATAGAAATACGTGCACACATACATATAAATATACATGTATACATAAAAAGACTTGTATAAGTTACACTTATACTATCCTCGACGAAGTTCCCTTTTTGTAAATGAATATGGACTGAGGGAACGACCGAACTACTCGTCTTCAGATGTGACGTGCTAAACCACTGCATAACCGACTCTCGTGCCTCATGATCAGCTTGACAGCGCTTCAACTGAGCAGCTACTAAAATTCGGTTTGGCTTCGTTCGAGCTCAGCATAGCTGCTGCCGTTGTGTTTGGCTGGTTGCGACGGGACAGGCTAATAAGAAAAATAACTAATAAGGAATGATTTTTAGGAAAATAGTGGGCAGGAGCAGTAAAAAATGGGCCAAGGTTAAATAAAAGTAGGTATATATGCATTTGTAAAAATATCATGGATGTAGTAGAAAAGGGGAGAAAATATGAAAAAACATTACGAGGGCGGAAGTAACTTAAAAGGACCGTTTCGGTTCACTGAGTCGTATAGAAGAATTATGAATCTATTTCATCAAAATTTTGTACTAAATCGAAAGTGTACCATTTCGAGGCTGCTGCCCTGTTCAAAAAACAGTTTATAGTTGTCGAATACTTGTTGCTGCTGCTCCTTGTTCAGAATTGGTTGATTTACTGCGCTTCCAGCAGTAAAATTCGCATAGCTGCTAAGATCACCAGTAGTGCTTGAAGCTTCAGCCTTCGTTTCTTCGTGGAGCTCTCTCTGGCGTTTTGCTTCTTCCCAAGCTGTAGCTAACTCTTCGGCATTCGGATAGAGCACCACTACTCTGTTGCGGAAGCGATCGTATTCAAGAAGCTGCAGCTTGTAAAAATGCCATGGTTCCTGGCATCTCCATCCAATATACTGAAATACCTAGTAAGATTACCTGAAAAGTACAAATTCGAATGAATCAGGCAAGTTTGCAGCCTGTGTTTCTGAAATAAGACTTCTGGATCAGTCCCTGTTGGATTGAATTTCTGGCGTTCCTAATTATCACGGTCAAATGTTTTCTAATTGGCTAATTGTCATAAGTTTTAAAGACTACTTATTTCCGTTCGTTCATTAAAAAGTACATTAATGAGCGGTATCAATGAAGAGGTGGTGTGCAATAAAATTAGGGACTTAGTACTAACTGGAGGTATGCAGCCCAGGGTCGACGAACTTGGCACAACTGCTCCGGGCATTAGGAGTATCCTAGCAAGTTGACCAACATGGGATTCTTATGCAATGACCCAAGCCGTTTTGATAATGCTGGCATTAACTTATTTCTATGCCCCACATAAATGAGGCAAGACACGAAAAGAAAGCACCGCGGAGGAAAGGAAGACCCTTGAGTCATCTCACTAGCGTTTAGGCAAATGATTGACGTGCAGAATATCCCTAGCCATCGGGCAAAGTGAACCCTGTTGGTGGTGGAAACGCCATCCGCCTGGACACCGGTCGCTATATTTCACTTATGCACCACTTTAGACATCCGACTTTAAAAATGAGCAGATAAAAGTAGGAAGTGAAGTGTGATTGCAAGTGGCGCTGCTCTCATGCCTCAGGATTGAAGGTTCGACTCCTTTAGTTGGACAGCCAGCCCCTCTACGATTCATTCATTTATTTCGATGGTAAATTGGTACTGGAATGTTCTAGAAAGTTAGGCACGAGCTTCCTTGTAAGCAACTTTTGAAAGAAGGAATTTAACAACGGTTGGTTACCCCGGTAACTGCTACTGCTAGGGCTATTCCATAAAAATTTGCCTCGACCAAGAAGTGAATACGGATGGGGTTTTGATTTTAACGCAGATTGAACAAATGAGATTACTCTTTCTGGTCGTGTTTTCAGAAACAAACGTCGTTTTTCGTCAATATGTGATGATGGGATGTATTTGAGTAGCATGTATTGATTGTCCACGCACCAAATCTGATCACATTCGAGGTCCTGTAGATCCGAATAGCGAAGCAAGAAAGTGCCTTTCTAAAAGCAACAACCACCACTTCATTTCAGAATCTGATATCAAATTTTGTATTATTACTTTGAAAAACTGTCAAGCATATTAGTCCTAGTACATGTAATTTTATCGCGTCGCAACAATCGCTGCGGACATCTGGCGCAATAGACATCGCATGGATTTGATGGAAGCCTTATCAATAAATTCAGAAGTCAAAAACAATCCCTATTTTTGAGCGATGGAGGCATTTGGAGGCAGTTCTGTTCCACAGATTTGTCAGAAATTAAGGCAAACAAAAAGGAATAAAAGGGAAAATAAGTTTCAAACGCGGGGCGTTAATAATCACAAAAACTTTCCAGAGGATGGACTGAACTGAAAATTCGATTATTTCGTTATTAAGCAGAAATACTTGACTCGGTGAGGTATCTTCACGACAGCGATTGGCCTCTCACTTTTGAAAGGGGAAAAACTCACTGGAAATGCCATAGGCATTTCTTCCGCTTGTTTTTGTTTTTCCTCAGACGATAGCTTTCCACGTTTACGACGACCTCCCTGAAACCCTTTTTCTTCGAATTGAAATATCGAATTGAGCAGCATATTCTTTTGTATTTCTTACTGTATTTGTTACTCCTATCATTTATTATTATTTATTGTTTATTATTGTTTGTCATTAGTTATTATTATTTATTAGATTAGTTACCATGTTTAGACTAGTTATCATCAATTAGACCATAATCTAATAATAAGGCAATTTACTTTTGTTGGAATGGCTGCTGATTAGTATGTTTTATGTCCGTAATAAAATTCTAACATTGCCTACCGTCTTAGCTTTCGTTTGCTTCCATGCACGCTTTCCAGTCTTCTTCACGGCTTCAGTTTCAGCTTCTGCGCCCAATTCTAGTGCTACAAAAAGTACGAAGATTGCTTCGGGGCTATTCTAAATATGAGTCTTATACCGCGGGGGCGGGGGGGGGGTGGTTAAAAGCCGTATTAGCTTGAAAACTTTAAGCAACAGTCCATTCCTCTACAAACCAAGACTAATGCAACGACCATCTGGACAATCGGTATGGTCATTCCACGACATTGGGACACTTCCGCTGACTGAAAGCAGCTATGCCAGGCTTTTCTATTTTGCTCTGAATACCTTCAGTTAATACTCAGCGGTCCGCTCGATGTGTGCTTGTGCACCGATTCATTGAGGAACTGTTTCTTGTTAAAGTAAATTATCGATCAGAAATGTTATAAAATTTAGTAATTACTTTTTGCGGCAGGAATACGTAGTCGACCACACTTCGGCTTTTCTTCCATATCAGTCTAAAAATGGGCTTTCATGCAGAGCAGAAGCTTGTCTTTGCATGCTGATTGACTTCACGAGAATAGAAATAAGGTTTACATTCAGTCTTTCGATGACTCCTTCAGTCATTCTTCCAACTGCGCTAACTCCGGAAGATCGGTGCTGACGCAAATAAGAATACCGATGCTTACCGAAATACTAATTTGAACAAATTCGGAAGAGGTTGCAATCAAGCCTTTTGTTTTGAACAACTGCTTTTCCGCGACACGGTACTATCTAGGATAATTTTCACCTGGCCTAAGCTTCTTTCACCTAACCTACAGAAAATGTTCAGATTTATTGGTCTTGCCAGCTCAATATTACCCTCATATCCCGCAAAAATCCTCTTGACGCTACCCGCCCAACTAACTGACCAGTATTTTATCACGTATCATTTACTTAGCCTCGAAATTTTAGATCTTTTCAGCTGCTAGTACACATTCTGGCTCCCCAACTTTGCAGCTGAAACCTTTCCAGCTACTTTGTCCAATGCCACTTCTTTTGACGGTCGAACTGCTAGCATTTCTGACGTTCCACAGTTTCATATGTCATGGATAGTTGACTATAACGAATATACCATAGTAAAGTAAGACTTTGTAGCAGCAGTTCAAGAAAGCAGCATCTAAAGAAATAGGAAATGATCTGGCACGCTGATCAGTCAAAAGTGCATTTAGATTCATTAAGGTATTGTGAAGCGGTGCATTGCGAGGAAATTAATGATAGAAAAATCTCCTATAAGTTACTAAATGAAAATGAATTGAACCTTATTTGTCCATTCAAAGCAAAGTCGTTTTGAAAGTGATCAGGACTTACCGCCTCCGAAACAAATTCATTCATTTCAGTGCTAGCAGCTGCCTTTCGTCCGCGTTTCTTTGGTGGGTATTCGACTGCGTACATTTTGCTGGATTCCTTCTTCCCTCTTTTCTTTCTGCAAAGAAATGCCTTCAAGCTAACGTCTGCAGCGCAGTTTCACACTGAATTCGTAGCGGTATCTAAATAGGTTTTCATTTTCATCTTTAATATTAGTGTGTACAAAGCAAAAATAATAGCCAGTGCTTTGAAAGCGGAAGCGATGAAAAGTGCCATTATTCCAGCAGCAAAGCTGCAGATAAACTGTTTTGACTCGGAAGTAAACCCTTGGCCAGGAAGCAGATATGCACCGCAAACTTTAGCCGAAACCTGCACATAGAAGAACTGTCAATTAGCTCAAATTTCACAGCGTCGTCGATTTCATCAAAATGTTTGACTGGACGGGTCCTACTCGCCAAACTTAGCTCTTGAGCACCAGAATGAGCCAGTAAACCACAGGGTGTTATTTTTCAGCTGTGGTATTTCGAATCTAAGAGCATGCTTCGCTTGTCACTATCACAATCTCGCACTGCCTAGCTGCGATCATGGCGTCAGTGTTTACTGTAAACGAACACTAAGATCGCACGGGCAATCAGTGATATCTTAATAATAGTGATATTAATGGAGTGCTCCTGCAGCCGAGCTCAATTTTACCAGACCCTTCGATCCTGGGATTCATGTCTACAAGGAGTATCCACTGTCTATTTGGTGTATGAATGCCATCTCTTTGGGGTCACCCGAATAATCTTTTTTCTGGTAGTTATCATACACCGAAGTGCGACATCCAACAGTTTTAATCAAGGTGGTCGACATGTCCTGCCAGCTGGACTTCACTTTATCGAACTACCAAAATTTGCTGAAAAGATAGCAATCGCAGCAGGAAAGGAATGAATTTTAGCATCACCAAAAGATCCTCATCAAAAAATGTTAGCCCTGGTGGCCCCTGAATCCCAGTCGTCCTGATCAAAAATCAGAGCCCAAACTTTGGTGGGAAGTGCACTAGATAATCCCTGTGTTAGCGCGAAAATAAGAACTTACAAATCCGAGGCGGCTGGAGCTGGACAAAACAACCGATTGAGGAACGATGCTGTGGGAGAAATGGGAACATATTGGCTTGAAATTTGAATGTTAGCATAACACTCATCTTTTCGCATCCTGTAAATTTGTGTATTCAAATTTTTAGGCCTATTTATAGCCCTCTACATCTTATTCTGACATTTTATAGTGTTTCTTTCTTCCTGGATGACTGCCTGCCCTTATGCACCTTGTTCCAACTCTATTGCCTCGACTTTGGTAAGTTTTACGTTGTCTGTGAAGTGTAATGATTTCGTAATTTCTGGTGCTTTCGCTTTGGGCTTGGCGTAGCCGCTCTAGTGCAATGTCACATTTTAAAAATGAAAACTCAAACTGACTCCGGGCAGTTTTGGTATCCTTTGTACAGTACTTTGATACATTTAGTTGACCACTTATGCAAGGCCTGGCTCTTCTGGATTTACGACTAGCGGCTTAATAGCTTTACCAATGTTGCTTTGGCAATTCTGGCTTTCAACCTGCTCACTATCCATAACTTTCATTTCCTGAAGAAACTGCCTGTTCAACAGTTTTCCAGGAAAAAGGCACTTCGCAAGAGTTTAGCTATTTCAGGATTTCACTGATGCGGACTGAGCATTATTGCCTCGTCCCAAGCAATACCATTCTTAAAATACCTTAGTGAGTGGGAGAAAAAAAGCAAGTTAAGTACAAGAAATTCAGTGTAGCACAAACTGTGATAAATTTTGATGAAAACGCAAATGCAGTCCGGTGACATCGAGATCCACAGTACAGTCAGCTGATTTTGCTAATCACCGTAAAAAGTGTTTGCAGGGTAGGAATACTTTCTTTAAATCGGTAGGTGACCACCATAAAGGTATTTCGTATTTTCACCGAATACGTTACTTATGAAATTTAGTTGGAAACGGGAAAATCCGCTTCCTGAAGCCTGTTTGTTTTCTCTTAAAGCTTTTTATGAGAGCCATTTCTTCCTTAATACAATGTTTTTAAAACGTTCGGGTGTGCCACAACAGGCTTATTGGGTGATAGTCTCAAAAATTTTCGCAATACCATTTCTTTCTTTTTTCTACGACAAATTTTTCGTGATTTTCGCGAGCTAAAAGTACTGAAAGATAACAGGTAGTAGTGATCTTTAACATCCTAGCATATTCGCGCAGGCATCCGAAAGTCTCTAGTAATCTGAATTATTTAAAATGACTGGTATTTCAGGATACTGATAAAATTGCAATAGTGGAAGATGCGAAAAGTTCAGCACAAGTGATTTTTTTAATGTGCAAAGCTTCTACAGCATAAGGATCGGTACAAGTAACAATCTTTACGCAGGAAGTGTCAACAACGGAGGGATCAGTGCAAGTACCATCCGCTGAGTGGGGAGCGACAGAATCGCTGACAGCGAATGGGGAATATCCAGCAGAAGCATGTCGACATATGGTGGATGAAGTAATTTGCTCCTGGGATTCTGCGTCCATCCTGTTTTCAATGAATGATTGCTTATTCTACAAAAATCGAACGGACATTATTGGTATAAGACACATATCTTTGCACATTTTTAATAATCCCATTATATCTTTACAAAAAGCTGTCAAACTGTTCCTCGAATCACTTGTATCTCTGCGTTTGTTTACGGCTAAGGGATGAAATAAAGGCTGCACCCTGATCTCCAAAGATTACGGATACATGCGGTAGCTTGGTACACCATTTCGGTCTGCCTACTAATAATTTCACGTAACTCGATAAACAATTAGTATAAATTTTTATGCTTTTTTGCAGCTATGTAATGCAGAAAACGCATATTGGTGAGGGGTTGTCTGTGTGTATCTGTGCGTCTGTGTGTCCGCTTGTGCGTATGTCAGGGTTTTTCATCTCAAGACCTACAAAAGCTACAGGGCTGAAAATTTGGGAAATTAATCTACATGCATGTGCAGGCCCCAATCCCAAAAATGGGCGCCATTAACCGCGTGGTACCCACGTACGGGTCCGCCAAATCTTTTTTCGGGTAAGTTCATAAATCGGGGATCGAGAAACCAGAGGACTGTAATTTCAAGAGGATATACCCCGTCCACCTAAGTTTCATTCAGCTCAAACCCAACTCCCGGATTTGCGTGGTAAACATGCACGGACCCGTGAAAATTTTTTTCCAGTAAGTTGCTAACTCAGGAGCCAGAGAAGCTAGAAAGCTGAAATTTTAAGGGGGGAGGGTTTCTGGCAGTTCTGGCGGCCAATCTTAATTTGTTTAGCGAGAAGCATTTGCCGAAAAAGCCGGTGCCGGTAGCAACAAAAACTGCGGGGAACTATGCAAATAACGCATCTTCGCACGTGTAGCCCGTGCTTTGGCCAATTTTTATCAGATGTTTTTGGGTGGTGC